AAATATAATTTATCTGTACTGAGAAAACGTGATGCGATGAGATAAAATGGACTTGAAAAAATAGCCCAGAAAGATGCCCACATTACCCAACAACATTAGGGTCGAAAAAGATGTCAACCAGTGTTAGGTGACAGGAAAGAACGAAACCAGATGTTCCAGAGTTGAGAACTGCTAGAGAAAATTTATTTGAATAGAACTGACAGTTACATTTAACTAATTCAAAAGCAAAACAATGTGACCAAAACCCCATCTAGTAGTTCATTTAAATTCAAAAGGGCCAGTTAGCAAGGAAGGGACCCTACGAGAATAACTGTCATGAAAATATTTATCGAAAAGACTGGAGGAAGCCACGTCATGGGGCTAGGAAAGTGAACGAAGCCGAGATGCCAGGCCAGGAATGAAAACATTGCAGAAATTCCTTTGGATTTTATCGAGAATCTTGTGATCTATAGCCGGCTCACCAGGCAAGATATGACAGCAATATCCATTGAATGGATGAATGACAGTTTTTACGAGAAATGTTGTCTGGAACCACCCTTTTTAACAGCAGACCTAGCTAATAATTCAATATAATTACTATATTACATTAGACGTAAGCATCTTATTCGTGTTACATTCAGACTAAAATTATTATTTAGTTATTCTTAAGATTTCAATCGTTATCGTGTTCAGTCTTTTTTAATGTGTGTCGTAATCTAATCGGCAATCACGGAATTTTGAATGAAACCTCTTATATGACAATTAGGAAGACATTTTACATATTTTATGCAACTATTCAGTATTATCCAAAATTAGGAATTGAAATCACAACTACCAGACAACCAACCATATGTGTTTAAATCAATGTTTGAATACAATTGAGAATAGCAGGAGCTAAAAAAATTACTACAAAGAATTTTCGTAAAATGGCATACATTTTTTTTACCAGTAATTATGTAGTCAAATATTTTATCAGTAATTATGTAGTCAAAGCAAAGCCTTCAATGCAAACTATGTTTATAGCTACAACTACAGAACTAGTGTTATATAGTTGCATGTGTGTATATTTGTGTGTAGGTAAATAGATATGCGTTGACGTTTTTGTATAGCTTTTCTCGTTTCTAAAGTACACGTTTGCTTGTAGCGTATTTTTTAAACAATATATCTGTGCTTACATATAGGCAATATAGAGATTTTCCAAGTATAGCTTAGGTTAAGCACAAGGCCGAAAGTATGGGGCATCCAGTGAGGATCGAACTCACTTTTCAGTAGTAACTGATCTAGCCTGACAAGCTTGCTAAACATTACACCACGCCGAGGTGCCCAAATATAGGCAATATATACTTAAATGCATGGCGCTGAATAGAAGAATCGAATATATATATATATATATATATATATATATATATATATATATATATATATATATATATATATATATATATATATATATATATATATATATATATATATATATATATATATATATATATATATATATATATATTTTCCTATATATTTTTCCTCAACAAAGCAAGTAATAACGATAGCGAACACACAGCTAAAAATCATATACACATTTATTATAAAAAAACCAAATGCATATTAATTACAAACAAGACGAATCTTCTCTAAGGCATATTATAAAGAAATATACTACTCCTATTGATCCGAATAAAAAAATCAAAATTATTATCTATTATAAAAAAATTAAGACGGCCAACCTTATCCTCAAAAATAACAACACACCAACTAAGTCAAAATTACAAAGAACAAACATTATCTATGAGTTCAAATGACCTTTAAGGAACTCCATTCCTCACCAAAACGGACTCATAAATAATTACATCGGCGACACAACCACATGTTTATCCAGACGTCTTACGTTACACCTATCTGATCACAGCTCCATCAGAACACATTTAAACACACACTCAGATTTACCCGACACTATTAGGAACATACTAGTAGAAAACACAAATATATTAACTGCATCCACTTGCAAAAAAAGACTAAAAATAATGGAAGCTCTAATAATAATAAAAAAAAGCCGACTCTTAACAATATTAACTATGAACAAAGCCATAATGCAACTAACCGTATTCGGAAATTAAAAACATCACTACACACACTGAACATACACAGAACGCACACCTCTAAGCTGATAATCGAATCATCCTTGATAATGGCTAAAGGTATAGCCGAAAGCGCTCGGAAATACAAAAACATTCGGACAGTTCTTACACACCATTTGTCCAGAAAAGAAAGCTCTTTTTCAGAACACAAGAAAAATTAAATAAAAAAAAGCTCAACCGTAGTACCTTGTCTGTCGTTTTAAATGAAACATGCATATATATATATATATATATATATATATATATATATATATATATATATATATATATATATATATACGGATCGTCTGGGAAAAGGGGGGCGACTTTCCTGACGATCAGTTTAGGTGAAACCTAGGTAGGTTTGTCTGGCTCACTAGGTGTATCTAGGTTTGCTCTACGGTTGTATTGAGCTCTTTTGTTAAGTTAGTTGTTTACTCGTATCGGGGTTTTTCTTTGGGCTTCAGACCTGCATCTGTGGGATTTTTTTTTCGACAGACTTTCATGTTTGTAGCTCTTTCTTTTTAAAAACCTTTTTTCCCCTCGAGATTGATTTGATTATTGGTAAATCAAAAATTCGAGGTTTTTTCGAAACGAGTATATATATATATATATATATATATATATATATATATATATATATATATATATATATATATATATATATATATATATATATCCGATTATATATATATATATATATATATATATATATATATATATATATATATATATATAACTCTGTATTCAGAGTTATCCTTTTTTATCAGTTGCCGGAAAAGTTAAAGAATCCAGCCATCTTTACTATTTAACTCATAACTGATTCGCTGGAATGAGAAAATTGTATCTTTCCCATGTGTATTTGCGTCAAAATGAATGTAACTAGCTCGTCTGCAATTCGAAATCCGCTCGCCAATTTCAAGTTCCGAGTCGCTAAGCAGCACATCCAGATCTGGGACAACCAGAGAAAAGGACAGTCCGCGAAATAACATATTATCAGTCACATTCAGCAGCTTAGCTGCTGGATTTCGGCAGTTATTTTTCAGAGAATGATATTCATGTTTTAAATGTTACTTTCTTACATATGTGTGTGTGTCTGTGTTCGCCTCCGCTCGTAAATAGGGCGAAATCCGTAGAAATATAGCATTCCAAAAAGATCAGGATTTCTGTGAATATAGTCGATGTGAAAAAAAAGCTGAAAAATATAAATATAAAACCTTAAATGTTATAATATTTTTCGCATTAAACACTATATTTTCGCCCATTTACCATAAACCAAAATAAAAGCAAATCAGCTATATTCCCTGAATTACAGTAAGTCATGTAGGCGAACATAAATACGTTGACACAATAAGAGTTTCACAACAAAAGCATATAACCACAGAGACACACACAAACATGCACACAGATATGAGAGGTAGATATAGAGAGACAAAGAAAGAGGGACACACACACACATACACACTGAACATTGTAATACATTAGATTTTCTAAGATACGTAGATTATCTTAAATAAAGACTTAAACTTTACGCACTTTGCGTTTCTGATTGGTTGGTAGAAGCAATAATTAACTTACAATTATTGTGAAATTTTTTATCAAAGAACTTGTTAGTGGTATTCAATAATTAGCTAATTAACAACAATGCCAACTAATTAACAATTATACTTTATCATAGGAATTAATTATTATTTTTTAAATCGTAAAGCACATATATATGTATAAATCAACTAGACAATGATTTCATTTTTTTACAAAAACACTGCATCAATATTCTTTATGAAAAAAAATGTTAATATTTGAAAGTTCTCCTCCGGTTTAATAAACAGGAAAATTTCATTAGAAACAAAAAAATGAGTTATAACGTAAATTATGTCAGTGAGACACCTCGGCGTGGTGTAATGGTTAGCAAGCTTGTCTCGCTAGATCAATTACGACTGAATAGTGTGTTCCATCCTCACTGGGTGCTCCACATTTTCGGCCTTGTGCCACATACGCTTAGAAAATCATTTAGCGTATAAATTCCTCTTTGGAAGGATTTTCAACGCAGGCTTATCATCTCTCAGTTGCGTCTCTGTCTTTGCCCAGAGTGTGCTCAGGGGCTTCTCTGTCTGAGGACAGAGGGGCAACTGAGAAAATAATACTGAGAGGTGCCCAGCCTTGGGGAACAGCAGCCCGTGGCCGCGCCCTCCCATTACACAAGAGGGAGGGATCGGTGCTAGCACCAGGCCAGCGCAACTGACGGTTGCGTGGGCTGTGGGGAATTTTTGTCTCTTGCCCGGGTGTATGCGCCCGGGTCCCTACTTTAAAAAAGACATTGTGTCACATCTCGTCCTCGTGGGGGAACGAGTAAACGCCGTAAAATATGTCAGATAATGTTGGACAATCTAATCAAAGACGAAAAAAAAAAGAGTTGAGAACAGGAATGGTGATCTACAGAAGGCTGCTACGTATACCACTGACTTAATATCTGCACAACGAAGTTAACGAGAAAATAGCACCAAAAAATAACACTTATATTTAACATAAGAATGAGACAGAGGAAATGAAAGCATTTTTGGAAAGCGCATATGAAAACTGCGTATAGCTAAAATGACTGTAAACAGATGTCAGAAACCAGTTTAAGAGAAATAGCCAAAATACGAGAATTTTAAGAGCTGCAAAGGGTAAATAAATTGTGAAAAGCCATGATCCTGTAAGGTATAAGGCATAGAAGAAGCAGAATATTCTAGGATTTTATAGTTTAAATGATCCCCAAAACGATTTGTCTTTCTGTTATGAAATATGAATTATAATTTCGTTTATTTTCTCATATTGATTAAAAAGGCAAATATATATAATGACGATTGTTTCATTGATTAATCCATCTTTGCTAATGTATCCTGCGATGAGCTCGCTTGGGAAATCATGTCTCTTTCCGATCATACCTTTTTAGCTATTTGTCAAGCTCACTTGGGCAATCATGACATTTTTTATTGTCCTTCTTTACCTAGGTGTCATGTGCCCTTGGGCAATCATATTTCTTTTCAATTCTCCTTCCTTACCTAGGCGTCTACCTCGCTTGGACAATAAAGACGCTTTTCGATCCTCTTTCCTTACTTAGGCGTCATGGTCTTTGGGGCGATCATGTCACTTTCGATCCTTCTTCCTTACCTATGTTTCATGCTCGCTTAGACAATCAAATCTCTTTGCAATTCTCCTTCCTTACCTAGGTGTCATTCTCGCTTGCGCAATCATGTCTCTTTTCGATCCTGCTTCCTCATCTAGGTGTCATGCTTGCTTGCGAAATCACTTCTTTTATCGATCCTCCTTCCTTACTTATGTGTCATGCTCGTTTGGACAATCATGTCTATTTTCGATCCTTCTTCCTAACCTAGTCGTCATGCTCGCTTAGGCGATATTGTCTCTTTTCGATTCTCCTTTCTTACCTACGTTTCATGCTCAGTTGGGCAAGCAGGTCTCCGTCTGCTCCTCCTTCCTTACCTCGATGTAATGCTCGCTTGGACAATCAAGTCTTTTTACGAACCATATTCCTTACCTAGGTTTCATGCTCACTTGGGCGATAATGTCACTTTTCGATCCTCTTTCCTTACCTAGGTGTCATGGTCGCTTGGACAATCACGTCTCTTTGCAATCATCCTTCCTTACCTAGGTGTCATGCTCCCTTGGACAATCACGTCTCTTTTCGATCCTCCGTCCTTACCTGGGTGCCATGCTCGTTTGGGCAATCATGTCTATTTTCGATCCTTCTTCCTAACCTAGGCTTCATGATCGCTTGGGCGATAATGTCTCTTTTTGATTCTCCTTACTTACCTGAGTATCATCTCGCTTGGGTGATCATGTCTCTTTTAGTTCCTCATGCTTAACTAGGTATCATGATCACTTGAGAAATCCCGTGATGCTCGCTTGGGCAATCACGTTTCCTTTCTATCCTACTTCCTTAATTAGGCGTCATGCTCGATTGGGCAGCCATGCCTCTTTTCGATCCTCCTTCATTCCCCAGGTTTAATAATCGATGCATGCTTGCGCGATCATGTCTCTTTTCTCTCCTCCTTTGTTAAAAAATGCCAGGCGTTATTCTCGCTTGGGCTATCTTGTCCTTATTCTATCCTCCTTACTTCCAAATATGCCATGCGTGATGCTCGCTTTGACGATCGTGTTTCTTTTTCTATCTTGCTTCCTTCCGCAGGTTCCTTGCCTAATTCTCCTTTAAGCGATCAGGATGTTTTTTTTTATCATCCCTAATTCCTCTAGTGTCATGAATGATACTCGATCATGTCTCCTTTAGATAATCATTTCTTCGTTAGATGCAATGTCTGATGAATGTTTGGGTTACCATATTTCATTTCCATCCATGCTTGATCAGAAAGAAGTCATTCCCGCAGTAGGCTGCCGTCATATTCTGTGTCTGCCAAACAAGGCTGTAGTAGGACCCTGTTTCTTTTTCTATTTATCATAAGCTGTTGGTAGATGAGCTTATTTTCCAACTAGGTGTAACGAACTGGATTGCAACTGGAACTCGTTATCCATTACACCACCCACACATCCAAGCTTGTAACACTTCGCATTGCCATGCGGTCACAGTTATAGATAGTGATCGCGTTCGATTACTGTGATCAAATTGGAACCAGTATTTTAAAGCGATTTGACCTTAAACAAATGCTCATTTTATAATTCGACGTCTTCTTATTTCATAACTGAACTATTTTATCCAAATATTTTTATCTTTTATTTACCATGTTCCTTCATGTCGTCGGCGACCAATAATCTCCAGAATTTCCTCCGCAGATTTAAGCAATAGATCCCTTAGTGACTCTCTCAGACTGCTATGCCATATACGGAAACTTCCCAGATTACTAGTTGTTTCTCTCTTAACAACAGAAATCCCCGTGAGTGTTAAATTGTTCATGACGTCTTTCCTCGTAATATGTGCCAGTCATTGTAAATCTCTTAATATAAGACAATGAACAGGCGTTCGCACATGAGCTTCTTTTGGCGACATAGATATGCAGACATGGGATAAGAATAATCTTGAACAGAATATCAACATCATTTGCCAAGTGTTCAAGGAAATAGATCTCAATATGGCATATCCTTTGCATCCATCATAAACAATTAGTATATATAATTAGTAAATACTAAATACATCAGATAGCTCAGCGTATTATCAGTTATAAGAATTTGTACGAGAAAAAGAAAGTGAATATAATAGTCTGTACAAGAGGTAAGTTTGTCCAACTCTGGCAATTGCTACAAAACGAAAACATCGACTTTAAAACTTGAGTGTTGTTTTAAATAACCTTATCAGATCAAGAGTTTCATATAGATGACAGACATGGCGCCATATCTGTTCAGAAATTTCTACGTAAACACTTTACTGTATACAACCGCTTTCTCAGATCAGTCTATAAAAAATAGTTTTAAGTGTGTGAATCCTGAGGGTCTTGGTAATGATGATCCTCCTTTAAACATTATGAACTGGCGTTAATGAATCAAAAGCAAACAAATGCATCAAATAACAGAAAACAAATCACGTAAGTAATATTAACAGCTGTAACTAAAAAGGATAGCACAATGTCAAAAATGATATAGTCAAGGTGTTAACTTTCTACACTACTTCAAATAAAATTTTAGGAAGGAAACCTTCATCAATAGAGAAAAGAACGATAACAGCTACGTGACTGGAGATTTGTATGGAGATGGTTAATAATACCATTAACATTACCATTTCTGGTCCATGTCTTTTTTGTTAATTTGTCGTGTTTCTCACACGTTCCGTCTATGCTATTCTCAGTATCCTTCTGTATAACAACATCTCTCTTGCTTGATATCTCTTTTTCATCTGTGAGAAAAATGTCCCACCTATCACTGCTAGGATTGATATTATATATATATTTATATATATTTATATTATACATATATCAAAATAAAAAGAAAGAACTGTCAGGCGTATAAACCAGTGGCATATTTACTTTTAAAAACAGTGCTCTATACACAATAGAGCCTAATATTATATTTTTTTCGAGGGTTATTCAACATTGCTTGAAAATGGAACTGAATTTTAAATTTAACTGAAATTTGAGATTTAGGGTTTGGTTTCGAATCATGCCAATTTCTATGTACCGATGAATACATATTTTAATAATAATAATTATATATATATGCATACATACATACATACATACATATATATATATATATATATATATATATAGTCATCCACACAGCAGGTAGGAAGGGGAACTTAAGCGTATTTATTTTCTAGATGAACACATCACTCACTGAGAGAACTTGATTCGTTTTATAGAAGAGTCATGCATTATTAGCAGTAGTAGCCACTATTTACAATATCATACTTTTTGTCTCGAGAGCTCAACAGAAGTAATTTTAGAAACAAAATATTGTCATCCACAGACAGACTTTTTCGGTGTATCACAGCTCATCTCAGTGGCTAGACGTCCGTTTGCCTCCAGCTAGGATCACAACCTGGTCGATGTGGTGTCAGTCGGAGAATCTACTCTTATGCCGTTGGTGCACGGCAGGGAGGAATGTGAAGCGTACTTATTTTTTTAGATAAACACATCAGTGACTGAGAGAACTCCATTCATTTTATAGAAGAGACTTGCATTATTAGCTGTAGTAGTCACTTTTTACAAACTCACACTTTCTCCCGAAAATAGAGATAGAAATTAGGAGTATTTTAGATAATTATAATTAATTAACTGAGTCTAGAAGAAACCTCAACAAAAGCACTAGACGGCCGTTTTGTCCCATATTTGGGACTCATCAGCAGTGCCCATTCACTACCAAGAATTGAAACCTGAACAGTTATGTTATCAGGCAAACGTCATACCAACTGTTCCAACGTGCCCCGGTGAAGAAGAGGTAGCGAATCAGACTCGATATAGCTTCACTCGATCACATACTTGGTGGTGGAACTCATCCGAGTTTCTCTTTAACCCATAGGACTGTACCCCCACGAGCTACAAATATTATCACCAATCCGCTCCATCCAGAGCATTAGAAGCCGGTTTAAGCAAGCATATACAGAGAGAAATAATTAGGAGGATTTGAAATAATCATAATTAAGTAATTCATCGAGTCTAGAAGAAACCTCAACAGAATGCAGAAAGCACTGGACGGCCGTTTCGTCCTATTTTTAGGACTCATGAGCAGTGCCCATCCACTACCGAGAATTGAAACCTGGACAGTTACGTTATTAGGCAAACATCATATCAAATGTTCCTGCTACTGCTAATAATTCAAGACTCTTCTATAAAACGAATCAAGTTCTCTCAGTCACTGATGTGTTCATCCAATATATATATATATATATATATATATATATATATATATATATATATATATTCTTCCTAACAATTCTTTTTGTATCTTAATACATAGAATCTGATTTGAATTTTTTTTTCTACCCTAACGTATCTTCGCATTACAGTGTCATATATTTAATAATCAGTTAAAAAATTCCCGTATATTTAATCTTACTTACTGTACTCGATTTTATTTGACATCTCTAATTCGTAGCTCAAATCTTCAACTATGTCTCTTTCTGAAATGTCAATTGATTAGTCTTTTCTTACTGCGTTTTATAATACAATGTCTAAGATTTCTTGTACTTTTCCAGTATTTAAAAACGAATCCTTAATGTTTATTTATTATAAAATATATCAAATGTAATCAATAAGTTTACAGAAATTTATTTCACGAGTACTGGGATGATTTTACACCGTGAAAATTGAATCTTAATTCTTCAGTCAATGAGTGTATAAGCTCATGAAGCGTTGTACGGCAATAAAATATCCATAGAAATTCCCTTATAATGTACCACTGATAAGTCTTTTCTCTTTCCAAGCGATCAAAACAGAATAGTACATTATTTATGAGGTATTGGCAGAGCGTATCGGCCGCGCAAACTAAGAAACTAACGAACAGAGTGACGAGCGCAATTATTATATGAGGCTAAAATTAGGACGTTTAATGTTCAAGTTCGTCTTCTTCATTGACATAGAATTTTTCCCTTCAGCTTGTCACGCACCGCATTAAACGAAGTTAATATCGATAGCGGAAATGCAGTCAAACAAAATAGTGAATTCTTGAACATTTTTCTTCAATTTCTTTTTATCTGTGAACTAGTCAATCGTCTCGTCGTGAACGCCTTGAAACAACGTGACCAAATAGCCAGGACAAAGCGTAACTTTAAAACCTTCTCAGCCCATAATCAGTGAATAGCGTCGCTTCCTGGTGCGCTGCTTCCTTACATTTCTACTTGTCATTGTCGATTCATTGATCTCCAGCCGGGAAGTCGATTTGGCGAGCAAGGATAGGAAAGTCCCTGATGTCGGCCCGTCTGTCTGTCAAGATAATGGAAAACCACTTTCTTTATACATGACAAGTTAAAAGAGCATTTCCTGCAAGCTGGTTAAAAACAAAGAACATCACTTGATCGTGCAATAGTGTCGATATTTTCAGAGCATACATACATATATACATACATTCACATATATATATATAGAAATATTAAAAGCTACACACACGTCATATACGATACAAATATTTTTAATTTGAAGTGTAGCGTTTCGAAAATTCCAGAATGGAGCTAATAAAATGTTATTTCTAAGATACTGACAACTTTAACTTTCATGATAATGAAGACAAGTATTCGGAAGTACACAAAGCAAAAAAAAAAAAAATGAGACTTTGGAAAGTTTCTGCACTGTTTTGTAAAATGAAAAATATGTAAGAAATACATAGAGAATGTTGAGGTTATTAAAAACTCTCATTCTCTCTCTCTATATATATATATATATATATATGTGTGTATCTCAATTTCTCAATATATATATATATATATATATATATATATATATATATATATATATATATATATATATACAAACACACAAAAGGATAAAATACAGCTAGAAATCTATGTACAAGACAGCGCAAGAATATAATATAAAAGGGTCAAATATTCCACGTGACTTAACCGACTCGGTCACAGAACGGCCTTGCCAGCCAATCAAAACTGAAGAGCGCCGAAAGGCGCATATTTTTCTTTAAAAGAACATTCAGGCCGGTAGACGAAAATAAATAAATAAACTATAATATATATATATATATATATATATATATATATATATATAATGAGCCGTGGTATCTTAGAAATGATTAAATATATATTACTGGAATTTTACAATGTTTTTATAACTCCGTTGGACTTTACGTTG